TCAATTTTCTACCGATTTTCAAACGGATTGGTTTGTTATAAACGTCAGAGATGTAGTTATGACAGCATACTTATGAATAATAATCCAGATAATTATAGCCACGTTAATAACGTTTGTAAGAAACCAAATCTGTCAAGATTTCAACGAGATAAGAGTATTTGTGTTCGTGCTGACCACTCATCTTGCATCAGCTTGCCTGTGACAAGATGGCCGCCGGTGATGACGATAGAAACTCCGCCTTAAGACATCTAGCCTTTATATAGATATCTATGTCAGGAATCCCTCCGTCACTCACACACACACAGATCTGCTGCGAGGAGATGCGGTTCTGGTGCCTGTACTGAACTGTGATGGACAACATCACGACTATGACGAGTAGAAACAGGCATGCTTAGGCGTCGCATCTTGTGACATTACATCCAGTTTTTGGTTCGTTTTGTGTTCATATTTCGGTCGAACCGCACCAGAGTTCGTTTGGAAGCGGATCGAGTCCCATCTTTTCAGCGTCTCGGTCCGCTTGTTTGGTGCACCAGCGTTCACACTTATTCAAATGAACCGCACTGAGAGCAATCACACCAGAGTTTGATTTAATCAAACCAAACTTAACAAGTTTCAAGAGTTCAAGATGTTGAAAGCGAACTTCTAAAATGCAGGATGTTCTCCTTTAAAGGTTCGCTTGGTAGGATCGAACTCTTTTAGCAGGATCTTTGTGGCACTGTGCTGGGTCGAACCGCTCGTAGCCTTAGAGTCTGTTTGTGTTCGTTTGGTGAAGGCTGGTGAATCTCGTAACGCAACGTGAGGTTTGATCGTTATTAGTCGAGACTTCAGTGGTAAATGAATTGTACATAGATAAGTTTGCCTCTTTTTTTAGAAATTTATTACATTTTGTGTGCTGGGTGTTTTTGAATTCTTTTCGAGTAAATCTGCCGTGATTATTGGCTAGTGTATGATTATTTGCATGGCTGTTATAATAAAGGAGTGGAGCTGTGAGTCAGAGATGTCTGTGTCCAATAAATGCAATGACCAGAGAATTCTTTTCTATTTATGAACCCGTGTGGGGAAGATGATTGACAGGTGATGCGTTCGAGAGCCGACCAGTAAGCCTGTTGTCCGCTTTGAAGGAGTAGTTCACTTTTAAAAAAAACGTTTCCTGATAATTTACTGACCCCCATGTCATCCATGATGTCCATGTCTTTCTTTCTTCAGTCGAAAAGAAATTAAGGAATTTGATGAAAACATTCCAGGATTTTTATCCATATAATGAACTTTAATGGGAACCAAACGGTTCAAGGTCCAAAAGACAGTTTCAGTGCAAACTGCAAACTGATCAAAGGGCTTTAAATGATTTCAGACTATGAACAAGGGTCTTATCAAGCAAAATGAACAAATATTTTTTCAAGTCATTGAATAAACCAAATGACTCGAAAAAAGATTCGTTCATTTTGGTGAACAGGAGAGTCATGAACGCGCATCACAGAACAGAGCAAAGCGAGCATTTGTGCTTATAAAACTTAAACTTTTTAATTTATTTTTTAAATGAGCGATCGTTTCGCTAGATAAGACCCTTATTCATCGTCTGGTGTCGTTTAAAGCCCTTTGAAGTTGCACTGAAACTCTCATTTGGACTTTGAACCGTTTGGTTCCCATTTGAAGTCCATTATATGGAGAAAATCCTGGAATGTTTTCATCAAAAACCTTAATTTCTTTTCGGCTTTAGAAAGAAAGACGTGGACATCTTGGATGACATGGGGGTGAGTAAATTATCAGCAAAAGTTTTTATTTAAAAGTGAACTACTCCTTTAAAGAAGGCGGGGGTCTTGCGGGAGGTTATTTTACGAATAATATTTCGAAGCAGAGAGACAGTGAGCAGGGTTGTTTCAAAAAGGTGCTATACATTATTCCTAAATGATAATCTAGAAAAGAATGATGTGAAACTATATCGTTGAGAAGTGACTTGGTCTTGACAATGACTGTTTTTATGTTGTGTAGTCTTGAAAAAGCACTATTATTATTTTACTCTTTTATGAATATATTAACAAAAGGCATTTTAACTTTGTACTTGATGAAAATGTAAAAGTCAAAAAGTTAAGACGAATAAAAATGTACAGATTCATGTGTTTTAGCCTAGACATTACTGTAGTATGTGCCTCTCAGTAAAGAAAACATTCATTCATACTGTATTCGCATGCTGCCTTCAGGTCCCGTTGGAACGATCGTATTTACGAGTCGAATGCCGGTGGGAAACATGTCAGGTAATCAATCTTATTGGTCATAATTTGGTTTCATTGCGATTGTTGGCCGCATTTAGTCCAATTAACTGAACTTTGGAGAAAACTAGCTGTTAAATGTGGAAATAAAATTACATTTCCATCATTCCCTCCACTTGATGTCTTTTTTTATGCTAAAAAGCTTCTTGTGTTTGTCAGGAAGTTAAATATGAAATACATTTTATTCCGATCACTTAAAAGCATTTCAAATTGACGTTCGAACTCGTAAATAAGAGCTTCCTCGGAAGACTTAAAGGCAGCGTTACTGTGCACTGTTACCTAACTGCTTGGAAGTGATGGCAAATATTCATTACCCAACATTCCCTTCTACAAACTCCCTCCATGTACTCTTGCTAAGGTCAGACTATAATGTTTTTTATGATTGTTGTTGCCTCAATATTTATTGCCCTACAGCCTCGTCCATCTGATCAGTCCACAGGTCTCTCTCTCTCTTTTACTTCCTTTCTTCATCCGCTGTAACACTCATTTAGCCTCACTCTCCCCCTCTCTCTCTCTCTCTCGGTGTGGCTGTAGTTCTGTTGTGTTTCGATGGTCTTTGGAGTGTTATAGTAGCAGTTCATCCTTCCATAATTCTCTCTGTACGCAGTGAAAGGCGAGACAGCCGGACAGCGGCTCCTTTCCTGTGCACTTGTACTGGGAAACACTTGAATTAAATGTACTGTTTTTGTGCTAAAATCACCCTTGTCGAGTCTTTCTTATGGTGTGAGAGAAGAGCACATCATCACACTGATAAACTTGAAACAACTTAAGTTTGGTCAGGGATGTCACACTTATCGACTGTTTTTGGTCATATGTTACACATAACAAACATAAATCACTGAAGTATATGAGAACATATAATACCTTCTATGACCCTATATGATGCATTCAGATGTGCAAGGAACTATATAACCTATTTTAAAAGTGAAAGACTTTTGTGTCCATAACAACAGGAAATATTGTTTCATCAAAGACAGTTCTTGCACCATATGGTAACAATAGCTGGCAGTGTAAAGCGCTGAGTGTTCACCTTCCTGAGGATCCTACTTATCTTGAGTTTCGTTTTTAACAAACAGACCTTCATTCCACATTCAGGACTATCCGAGGATCACAGTCATTATCAAAATGTGGATGGAGATCCTGTTGGTGATTTTTTTCGTGGATGGTAAACAATTTTAGTCTCGTATAACCAACAATGAGCGATAGGCCTACATTTGCTACAGTATTTATTTATTAATCTTTATTTTCGTTAGTTCATATTAGCTCATGCAGGTCCGTTAAAAATATTACTAAAATACAACTTTTGATTTTAATAATGATTAATAGGCTAAAATTACTGAATGCTTTTATATTTTTATTGTTAGTTCTTGTTAATAAATGTATACAACTGGAACCTTATATTACTGAAATTGCATTTTGACCTTTCATAATTACATAGTAGGCAGGTATATCCACGTATTAGGCTAATTAAACATTTTCGGTTACACTTTATTTTAAGTTGTCATTGTTACAGTACTACAGGTTTGGTTGAAGTAGATTAGTTGCATGTTTACGGCTATTATTATGGTAGGCTAAAATGTAACAAGGGCACTGTAAAATAAAGTGTAACCACATTTTCTGATTTTTGTAACTGTATGGGATTTTTTTTTCACAGGAAAAGCAATTAACGAGTGTCGTTTGTTTCTTCAAACTTTGGCTACAGCGACGTGTCAGCTGTACCTGGCGCTCTTGCCTCTACGTCACGCCGCTCAACACTTCGCCAAAGCTGCCGGGAATATTTTCATCGAGCCATGTGTTAATGTTAATGACTCTGATAACATTTCATCGACTAAAGAGCGCATGTTGAACCTTTTGAGGTATTTAGATAAAGCGGCTATTCATTGCCTGGAGGGAGTGTGTTTGCTGTGGGAGTCTCTCTTTCAGTTGTTGTCAGTCGTGTCATCTGTGTGTGTCGCTGTCAGTCACGTCCTGCAGGGGGCGCTGTTTCTCATCTTGTCCACGGCGCGCTGGCTGCAAAAGATGCTGCTTTTTAAAGACGACGTGGATGAATGGGTGAAAGAGCAGAATCAAGAGAGGGAACGAATAGAGGAACAAAGAAGACAAGTGGAGGAATACCTCAACTATAAAGGTTGATTTAAAATATTCATTATCAGGAAAATGTGGGGGCGGACATAAATTGACAATTTCTTGAAAGGATAGTTCACCCAGAAATTGCATTTCTGTCTTAATTTACTCACACTCGAGACTTGTTTTCTTCTTCTATGAGACATAAAGCAATTTAAAATATAATCTATTTAACTGGGTCAAAAAAGTCGTTCATAAGTTCTTTACATCAAGTTTTGATAAACTTATTTTAAATGTGCTGTAAACGATCTTCTTAAAGGGATAGTTCACCCAAAAAAGTTGTTCTGTATGAGTTTTTTTCTTCTGTTGAACACAAAGATTTTAAATAATGTTGGTAACCAGCCAGTTGACGGCACCAATAGTAATTTTTTTGTTCCTACTATGGAAGTCAATCGTTACCGTCAAATGTTTGATTACAAATTCTTTAAAATATCTACTTTTGTGTCCAACAGAAGAAACTCAAACAGGTTTGGAACAACATGAGGGTGATTTCTATTTTTAAGGTGAGCTATCCCTTTAACATATCTGGGTTTAAACGATTTATGGTTGACTTTTCTTTGCAGATACTTTATTTCATGTTTCTTTGTGTTGCATCAATCAACGAAGGAATGTACATAATCAAGTAATCTTTATTATAATGATATCATAGAAAAATATATTTTAAAAAAATTCCATTAACGCAATTATTTGATTATCTAATTGCTTGATAAACATACTTAAAAGATAAGAATATCTTCAAATGCATATTTAGCTGTTAAATACCATTATTGTCTGTATGATTTTCACAAAATTAAATCATATGTATTGCCATAACAGTCCAAAATTGCTGAAGTTCTTCATCTAGAGCTGCTACAGCAGGTTTACTCTGTGTTTGAGATTAAAAACATTTATAATACTTATTAGCACTTCTAAAATAAAAGATTCAAGAGTTGCTGTCCGATTCTTCTCGTCACAGCCTGGCGTCACTGATTCGAGGGGTCCATCCATCATCTGTCATGAAGAAGATAAAGTACAACACATTACACTACTCAACAGAGCAGATATACCCTTTAGTTTCCAACAAAACTACTGATCAGAAGAAGAATCAATCAATCTTACTCAGCATGTCCCATATTCTCTTCACTGCAGATTTATTCACTCGAAACTCATTCTGGTCGTCGCTGAAATACAGAGAGATATGTAGTTGTTGTCATTAACTTAATTTCTGTGCTCATAAACCCTTTTCATTTTCAAAGTTGTATCTGTTTACACTTTAGTTTTGGTCACAGCAGCCATCCTGAGCAAAGCTGAGAGAACGTTCCTCTGTAGGTCGGATGATAAACCCTCATACGACTGAACTTCACCTGAGACAGAGACGTAACTTTATCTGAGAGACTGTAGCATAATCATCAAGGTTATTTCACAGAAGTCGTCAACTGAAAATGACCCGCACCTGAAATAAGGAGCTTCATAACGAAACTGCGGATGCTGGTTGAAAACATCTTCTCTCTGAATGTCTGCGAGCTCTCTTCACACAGGTACCTAAACACCACCTAACACACTGATATCAGTTACTCACCAATCGACACGGTGAACTGCATGGACAATTGTGTAGATGACTACAATCACCTGGTAACTCTCTATAAAAGGCTGCAGAATGGCTCTGAGGAAGACGATGCTTTCCTGGCCGTTGTCTCTCACATAGACCTCTTCATCAGAGCGGCCGATCACACCAGACTGCTGTAGCAAAGAGCAGCCCTCCTCATAGTCCTGAGAGAGAGATGGACGTTTAGATGGATGTCCTGAGTGTTCAACAACTGCATTTAGACAATCAGACTCACCTGAACCGCTTGATCAGGAATGAAGACAAACTCGTTGGAAAAGAGCTCCAGAAGAAACTTAAAATGATGAAAGACGTCATCTGGAAGAGAAACAAAATTGCTAAAAATAACAATGCATGATTTATTCACCCTCATGTCGTCCAAACCTGATTTCCACAAAACATTTATAGAATGTGCATAGTACTTTTTTTCACTGTAAAAGTGAATGGGAGATCCAGAAAATGGCAAAAAAAAAAAAAAAGTGCCATACAAGTCGTGTTTGAGTCATACAATAGATTTGTGTTAGGAACAGACTAATATTTAAAGTCCCCATGAAATCAAAATTGACCATACTAACTTTGTTTGCCTAAATTGATCATTTTGTGGTGAACAATTCATACATGCAAGTCAATCCACACAAAAAAATGTTTTGGCTTCGTAATCTTTAATCAAATTTTGAAAATGCCCCTCCCCTCTGCATTGGAGGACCTTGCCCGATGACTAGGGTTGGGTATCGTTTGAATTTGAACGATTCTGATTCCGATTCCTTGTTTCGATTCCGGTTCCTAACGATTCTCGATTCCGATTCTTTTAAGAGGCAGGGTCAAAAAAGTTTAGCTAACCTTGCTAACCAACGGCCTTTCTGAAGGAAATACTTCTTCGGTAAAAATACTCCTTTTGTCACAAATTTTGCATTTCTTTATTTTTAGAAAAGCGAAGCCACACTTTGGATCGTCGACGTAAGGTACTCATGTTCGACTCGCGCGGTTATGCCAACACTTCCGGTAGACGCTTCTTCGTTGGTGTTGTTCAGCGGTTTCTTCTTCCGCTCGGCGGACTGTGAATATCGAAACTAGGAATCGAAATTTTTACTTTTGAACGATTCCGGGAAAAACGAAAAGTTAGTCTCGGTTCCAATCGATACTCGATTCTCGATACCCAACCCTACCGATGACGTAGGCTTAACGGTTTGGGTGTCCTCCTAACATCCATAACCACGCCCCTCCAACTGACAGCTGCTGTGTGTTTGCGAGCGCCGAGCGAGCATTGATTGACAGCGTGTGTAAACTTGCGTCATCCTCCATGTCAGAATGAAACACCCATTTTTCTAGATCCAATCAGGTGCTAGTTGGAAAAAAAGCCACGCCCACTATTTTTCCTCATTTAGTATTCCCAGAGAAAGTCTAATATGACTGGCTTTGGTATTCCGTTTCTCTCGGAAATACGTCACAACACTGGAGAAAAGTCGTTTGCAACTTCCGGTTCACGGGGACTTTAAAGCCCCAAGCAACACGCAGCATTTTTTTCAATATGTTGACGTAATTTCCACTTAAACAGGAAGACAGTGTGGGACATATCGATCAGCTCCTCCCCAATAGCATTTCCTTTATATCACAGAAAAGAAAAGCTCCCAGATAGCACAAGGCTGTTTGGTCTCCTATTTACATCTGGAAGACGTGTTTGCTCATCTGCAAGACGTCTATAGAACATTTCCTGCAGATGTCAAATAGACGTTTAGAAGATGTCTCTAAGATGTAATCATTTAGAATGCATGTTAAACTGACATCTTATAAACGTCTATTTGACATCTGACAGGAAACGTCCTATAGACGTCTTGCAGATGAGCAAACACTCTTAAAAATACGTCTTCCAGATGTAAATAGGACATCAAATACCCTTGTGCTATGTGGGCTGCGTTTGACAGATCTACAGTCTAAAGATTACCATTTTAGATTTAATATGAAACTGTTACTAAAGCAAAATAGTGACCATAGTCATGCTGAGGATGTGTAGTTCGAAAAGTGTAATTTTTGTTGGTGGATGGCATCGATGATGTCTCTTCTGCTTGGCAGTGCTGCGAGTCAGTAACCGTTTCTCCTCCTGATCTCCTCCATCGTTTTAAAATAGAGCATTCGACAAGTTTTGTGATCTGCGCCGACTCGCACATCTGATTCGCTCTGTGTATCGTGTCTCTGGACCGGAGCTGCGGCGATTCACGTGACACTAACGTGAAACCACACTTCATTCGCCCTGAAGGTCTGAATTATTCCCTTTCCCGTATATATAGCACCTTATGTGCCATTCACCATGTAGAAAATAGTAACTGTGAACAAGTAACTGACTGAATATACTATGAAAGTCAATGGGACCAGAAACTGTCTGGTTACTGATATTCTTCTAAATATCAGAAAATCGGCTGAATGGATTTGAAAACGGTAAAACTCAACCGTTGTAAAATGAGCCTATTTCCAAAAAAAGTGGAGTATCCCTTTAAGGGTGAGTAAAACCATTTCAAAATTCCTGTGACACTCTCATATTACTCACCTGTCCTGCTGCTTACAGCTGTTGTGATTGCTACTGCCACCATAGCTGGCCGTGTGAATACGTGTACTGCTTGATTCCTGTAGGAGGCGCACATGAGCACAGCAGCAGCACGCCTGAACACGCCCTCCTCTTGAACCGCCTCCTCCACTAAATAGACACGCCCCCTCTCACAGCGCACTACTGAGTGATGCAGGGTCAGGCTCGATGACATCACTTCAGAATCCAAAACGTGCTCTTCAAAACAAAAAGAGGGGGAGAACGGTATGTTTTTCCACTACACAGTTGCTACGGTGGTCAACTTTTCCATTTAAAATATTGATATGACAATGAAACCATTAGTTAATCATGTAATTAACAGGGCTTAAACAAGCATATTTTCTTTCCTCAAGACTCAACACACAAATTTGAGATCTTCTGTCCTGTTTATCCTGTGTGATTGCCATAGGAACAGCCCTGAATGCGGGTTTTGTTGTTTTCTGTTGATCCCAGTCACATGTTTGGCTTTCCCAAGTACCGTCCCAAGTTGTTCACAATACCTAGAAAGCTAAACTAGTAAGAGAACCCTGGAAGGAGCTCATGAATATTCTAGCACAGAGCTCAAACTATTATTTTGCAAGTGTTTTCTCTATGGACATGCTTTTATAGCACAAGTTTGTAAGAAGCCAAAATTGTGTTCAGAGTAATGTACTTAATGTACCATTGAAGTATATGGGGCATTCCAGAGGGTATATTGTTCTCCTTCGTACAAATATGAGTGTTTTTGTGATGTAAAGTCACAAAAACACATCTAAACGATGCTATTAGTATTAGGACAACTGTTTAAAACAGATGAAGTTCTGGTTCTGTGCTACTCTGTACTTTGCAGAAAGTTTTTCAAACTTTTCTGGTATTTAATAAGCCTAATGACTGCATGCCACAGAAGCTGTCTGTAGAGTGTATCTGGCACTGAACAAATGATCTTCCTTTAAAGGAGCTGATTGTATGTTCTATTTAGGTTTTGTTTATTGAATGTCATCTCTACATGTATCCTTACTGGGCCATCTGATGTGGGCTCCAAACTGCAGGGCGATTCTCCTCACCCAGAGGGTTTTGTTGGTCAGCAGGTCCAAATCAATGCCCTGGAGGTTCTGGAGGAGAACCATGACCATCAGGTTCCAGGCGCTCAGTACCGCGTTTCTCTCCTGCAAACGGATAATCATGTGGGCTAGACCAGATACAAACTCCTGTGTCTCCTTATTGGGCTTCATGGGCAGGTCTCTGTTAATGAGACAGAAGAAAAAAAAGAGCATATCCCACAAATCAATGCAGTTCACTTGATCTTGCATTTTACACTGTGGGGGCCTGAATAGGAACCATGATTTTAAAAAAATCGTATTATTTCACAAGATTGCCAAAAGTAAAGACATTTTTAGACAAAAATATAAAGCATAACAAAAAATCATTAAAAAAACGATTTTTTTAGAAATGTATAATAATTCAGTGTAATTTTTCTTTTTTTCTTTATTCATATTTTAATATTTTAAATGTAACTACATTAGTCATAATAAATGCCTCACCCCTGATTTTAAAAAAGTAAAGACATTTTTAGACAATAATATAAAGCATAACAAAAAATCATTAAAAAAAACTATTTTTTTAGAAATGTATAATAATTCAGTGTAATTTTTCTTTTTTTTTTTATTCATATTTTAATATTTTAAATGTAACTACATTATTCATAATAAATGCACCACCCCTGATTAAAAAATGTAAAGACATTTTTAGACAAAAATATAAATATAAAGCATAACAAAAAATCATAAAAAAAATATATTTTTTTTAGAAATGTATTATAATTCAGTGTAATTTTTCTTTGTTTATTTATTCATATTTTAATATTTTAAATGTAACTACATTATTCATAATAAATGCCCCACCCCTGATTTTAAGACATTTTTAGACAAAAATATAAAGCATAACAAAAAATCATTAAAAAAACAATTTTTTTAGAAATGTATAATAATTCAGTGTAATTTTTCTTTTTTTATTTATTCATATTTTAATATTTTAAATGTAACTACATTATTCATAATAAATGCCCCACCCCTGATTTTAAAAAAAGTAAAGACATTTTTAGACAAAAATATAAAGCATAACAAAAAATCATTAAAAAAACTATTTTTTTTAGAAATGTATTATAATTCAGTGTAATTTTTCTTTTTTTTATTTATTCATATTTTAATATTTTAAATGTAACTACATTATTCATAATAAATGCCCCATCCCTGATTTTAAAAAAGTAAAGACATTTTTAGACAAAAATATAAAGCATAACAACAAATCATTAAAAAAACTAATTTTTTTTAGAAATGTATAATAATTCAGTGTAATTTTTCTTTTTTTATTTATTCATATTTTAATATTTTAAATGTAACTACATAATTCATAATAAATGCCCCATCCCTGATTTAAAGTATACGAAACCCTTTGTAAGAAATACTTTCCTTTTCAGGAAAAGTATCGAAATCGCAGTTCTTGACTTGGTATCGGTATTGAAACAATAATTTTGGCATCGTGACAACACTAATATCTAAACAAGCTGTTTTTAGAGCTTGATTAAATAAATGCTTTGTTTCTAATGAGGAAATTTAAAACTTCCTGCAAGTTTCATAGTTTAAATGAAACAAAGACCTCATATGTCAGATGCATAAGGAAAATTTGATTCCTCATGGCATGATCTCTTTTACATTTACATTTATTCATTTAGCTGACGCTTTTATCCAAAGCGGCTTTCACATTTTATTGTTTTTTTAAATTGTCACGTGTGTATATATTACCTGGGTACCAGATTGTACTGCCTGCGGTTTATCTTTCCTTTGACCAGGTCTCTAACAGACACAGGGTTTCCAAAGCACACGTGCATGCAGCCGTAATCCTCCTTCAGAACCGTCCTGGCCTTCAGCAAACCCTGCAGATCACAGCAAGAGCTCAGCACCAAGTTCATTCCTTCATATTTTGAAATGCATGAGACTTTGGCTCGCTTTAACAGCTGTACCCCTGTGGTCTCTCTTGGTTTAGGCACACCCAGCAGCTCATGAGCGAGAAGCGACTCCTCCAACACACGCTCGTAACTGATGCTGATGGGCACCAGACTGAGGTCAACCACCTCTCCTTTAAAAAAGGGCTCCAACACCATGTGCATCATTCCTGTGAGGATGCAAACAGAACTCAAGGACCAAGAACATGAAGAGCCTCACATTTCCAACTTACTACTTTAAATGTAATCTTACCTAGTTTCGGTGTGAGAGATTTCAGCGTTCTACTCCGTAATCCTTCAACATAAAACTCTAATGGAGCATAACCTGTCTGTAGAAAAACTGCCACTGTGAGTATCAGAGCTAACAAACACACTACCATTCAAAAGCTTGGGGTTCAGTAAGATATTTTTGATCTTTTATTGGTAACACTTTACAATAAGGTTCATTAGTTAACATTAGTTAACATGTACTAAGAATGAACAATACTTCTTCAGCATTTATTAATCTTAGTAAATATTAATTCCAACATTTACTAATACGTTATTAAAATCAAAGGTTGTATTAGTTAACATTAGTTAATGCACTGTGAACTAACATGAACACACAATGAACAGCTGTGTTTATATTAACTAACATTAACAAAGAATAATAAACACTGTAACTAATGCATTGCTCATCGTTAGTTCATGTTAGTTAATGCATTTACTAATGTTAACTAATGAACCTTACCCTTTTATTCATTCAATTGATGAAAAGTGACTGTAAAGACAATAATAATGTTACAAAAGATGCTGTTCTTTCAAACTTTCAAGTCATCAAATAATCCTGGAAAAATGTATCCCGGTATCCTATATATATATATATATATATATATATATATATCACGCAGCACAATGGTTTTCAATATTGATGATATTAAGAAATGTTTCTTGAGCATCAAATCATCATATTAGAATGATTTCTGAAGGATCATGTGACACTGAAGACTTGAGTAATGATGCTGAAAATCCAGGTTTGATCACAGGAATAAATTACATTTTACAATATATTTAAATATAACACAGTTCCATTAAAGTTTAATAATATTTCACAATATTACTATTTATACTGTATTTTTTGTTCTAATAAATTCAGCCTTGGTGAGCATGAGAGACCTTTTAAAATCATAAAAAATCTTACCGACCCTAAAATTTTGAATGGTTGTGTGCAATAATTTCAATAATACAATAAGAATAAAGCACTAAATTCTCACCCGCACAATCGTTTTGACATACTCAGACAGCACCGCCCAGTACAGCTTGTCTGAGCCAATGGCACGACGGATAAAGAACGCGCCTGACCGTCGAAAGATCTCACCAATCAGCTTCATCCCCATCAGAGCTGTTAGACAAATAAAGGTGGAGATTTGGAAGAAGGTGAGTAGAGAAATATTTATACAAGTCCATCTTTAATGATGCATTTTTAGCAGATTTGTGTTTATGTTTTGACATGACAGCCTTGGGATGCCCACCTCAAAGCTTTAAGTTTTAGTCATTTCAAACATTTGTCTAAAGTGTTGGGCATTACTTGGTGCACCTTTAAAGAAACACGGCGAATTTTTGTTTCTTTAGCTTATTCACCGTATCCCCCAGAGTTAGATACGGTTAGAAGATGGCTGTCTCATGTGACCTTGTTATTTGTGCACACTGAGAATATACAAATCACAACTTGTGGGTGTGAAAATGTTGGTGTTATTTTGTCACTTATTGGGAGCAGTAATAGGGTGACAATATTTTGACACTCGGCCCAGCAAACAGATACTCAAATGATACTCAAAGTTTACTCAAAGATGCCTTATTAATTTCAATACATTTAAAGTCCTCTGTATGGATAGAAAATTTTTATATTACAAGAAACAAATTCAGATAGGCTTCTCAGAGGTTCCTCAACATATTTTATTATGACAGGTTTCAATTATGACAGGTCTTTTCTGTATTAGAAAAATAAATATATAAATAATAAATAACTAAAAGAAATACCTCCAAATTGAACAAAAATAGCTGTCACAAACTTACAAAAATGAACTAACAAAATATATTTGAAGAGTTCAGATGCAAAAGCCTCTAAGTGCCATTTGAAATTTTCTTCTAGAATGATCATTTTTATCAAGCTTGTATATTTAAGTTCAGTAATTTCACTTAAATGGCAATTATGATTACCTATTAATTGTTATTTAAGTAAAATTACTGAACTTAAATATACAAGTTTGATAAAAATCATCATTCAAGAAGAAAATTTCAAATGGCATTTAGAGGCTTTTGCATCTGAACTCTTCATTTATATCTTTAGTTTTTTTCCTCTTTATCCTGTTTTTCTTCCTCATCCTCCTTGTTTGCCCATCTATGTTTTGCTAGCTGGTCTTTCCCAGCAGTTTTTTGAAAACCAGGACATTTTCATCACTTTATAAAAAACAGCCAGGATGGCAATGGCAGGGTGTGAAAACAGGACATGTCCTGGGAAAACAGGACTGTTGGTCACCCTAAGCAGTAGGCTAGATGGAGCCGTTTACCTCCAGTATTTGTGCTAAGCTACGCTAGCGGTGGGTGCGTGCGTCAGACTGAGTTACGGCACACACAGAGATGATAAGGGTATATATGGAGAGTTCAGATGCAAAAGCCTCTAAATGCCATTTGAAATTTTCTTCTTTAATGATGATTTTTATCAAACTTGTATATTTAAGTTCAGTAATTTCACTTAAATGGCAATGATAATTACCTATTAATTGTTATTTAAGTGAAATTACTGAACTCAAATATACAAGTTTGATAAAAATCATCATTAAAGAAGAAAATTTCAAATGGCATTTAGAGGCTTTTGCATCTGAACTCTTCATATGGACTTATCTAACTCTCAGGGATACGGCGAATAAGCTAAAGTCCCCAAAAGTCAGCGTGTTCCTTTAAAATAAAAAAATAATTGATGTGACTGTGAGATTTGGCCACCAACAACTACAACAAAAATCTGTAGATACTTGCGAATTCCGGCTGCAATGACGGGGATAGAGAGGTCATAAGTGAACATGATGTAGGACAGAACAAGGAAGTCCATGTAGCTCCTGTGATTGGGCATTAGGATGACGGGATGCTCCTGAATGGCCTGCTGGAGCTAAATAACAGAATTGGCATTTTTTAGTGAAGCATTTCTTTTTAAAAAATAGAAATAATTTTTAATAGGACATAAAAACACTAACACGTGTGAGTCCCTCCTCGTTGACATATATAGAGCTGAACACGCTTTTAAAAACTTTGGTCATTGCGAAGCCCAGCAGTCGAATGAATCCCAGCTGAAGGTTTTGACTCATCTCGTCCAGTATCGCAGACGCTTCCTCTTGAACTGCCTCACGCGGTTCATCGGACTCAACCACGATCTGTGAACAGTGAGCAAAAACTGCTATGACATCTTCCTTTCATAACTACTGTACTGTATCTCACTCTTTCTCTCTCACCTCCTGTATGATGTAGCTCAGGTACTGGGATTCAAGCACCATCCTGTTGAGAGCAGCAGCTGAAATGGGCGTGGCTCCACGGTACCGCTGAGGGTTAAAGCTCCGCAGGGCGTGGCTTAAGTCATTGCTCCGCCTCCTCTCCTCCAAAATGTCAAAGAAGTCATCAGGTTCTGCACTCAGTGCTTCACCACTCTAATACACACAATATTGCTTGTTCAATCAACAAGGAAGCTAAATATTGTATTTACATATATTGTATTTTTGGTTATGTGCAGTTTACATACCTGAACGGCTAAAAATTTACATTATTTTGATAAAATTACCTAATGGAAGTAAATTGACTCGAAAAAATCACACAAGAAATGTCCACAAGGACGCACAGGTCAAACAAAAACAAAATAATAAAATTGTGATTATTCTCACTATTTAACTTTGTAAATGGGTTCACGAGACACGACGAGCTTATAAAAAATATCTCACGTGCGAAAACTGAAGTAAATCACGACAAATTATAATAATAGCCTCTAAAAGCTGATTTACCTAAATGATATATTTTCAATTGAGGCGCATTATTTTGAAAAAGCGCGTCCTGCGTAAAGTTAATTTTGCTAACGTTAACGTTTAGTTTTTAACGTTTACTGTGTTGTTTTGATGCTCGTTTTCCGTGTCTTTCAATAAAGAAAGCGAAACAAAAACACTTGTCACACCGAGTTCATACAGCAAAGCAACAAAAACATAATTAGATGACTTTTGATCACTGAAGATGTAACGTTAACGTCAACGTTACACTTTAAGCGTTCCTCGTTGATTATAATGAGGGATTGTGACCGCAGTACAATTCTGTTGCGTTGTGTCGCTCTCAGTGTGTACACAGTATTATAATGCACGTCCGGACCAAATAAATACACAAACATAACTTAACAACAGACATATCATGTTCATTTGTTCATACCAAGCGCTCCATGTCCCACGCAGAGGCAGGTGTTCTTCTCCCCATCCTCTGACATCAGAGTCCGTTACTGAACCCACCGACCGACACTCGACCGGTGCCCAGAACCAATGAGCGCGCGCACCGCGGGAACGCCTCCTGTCGCGTGAACTGTTACCCCCAATAATCTCCAGCTTTAAGCAATCTCTCAAAGATAATCAGTTTTTATTACACAAATGAACTTAATAATACAAATGAACATTCTTTTTTTTTTTTTATAAAAGATTTGAATGAATGTATGGACGGTTTTTTTTTCCTAACAAAATTCAAATGCTTAAAAATATAAAAATAATAAATCAAAGTCTCAAAACATCTGCTCAAATGTTAAATCATTAAATAATAAATCAAACTCTCCATATGGCTGCTCAAATGATAAATCAAATGCTCAATGCGATTTTATTTCCTCATTCGGGAAAGCATGAACTGCATCAAAAATCTTTAAAACTCATTTTAATTTTATTTGTGGAAAAACAGATCACACATGCATTGTGTTTTGACCTGGGCTGGTGAAGAATTTCAGCACCTGTAGAAACTAGAAGGCAATAAACATTTACAGTTCAAACCTCAGATATATTCATTTATCGATAAATTAAATGAACCGAGGCATTAAATGATGACAGACACGCTGTATTTCCTGCAGTATTTTATTGAAGATCGAAACAGATGGATTTTCCTTCAAAGAAGAATCACCTGAAAATCTGAACAACTGCTCTTTCACTGAAAGAAAATCTGGAAAAAAAGATTCTATAGTTCTATAGTTGAACTAATAACTGAAAATAAATTTCAATAAAACAGCAAAAAACTAGTTATATCAACAGCATCATGCTACATTTCTTCGTGTGTCTCATAAACTAAATATCTAAATCTTTAAACCTCATTGAAACCATAACAAAACGGAAGAAACCCAACCAAGGTTATGATTATTAATTCATAAGAAAATATAACAGCATATCTTTCTTAATTTAACACATAAAGTGCTGGTCAAAACCACACGAAGGCACGAATACAGCAGAAAAACATTAAATAATCAGATAAAATAATACTGAGTAGGCTACATTAACAATAAGGTACCATGTAAGAGTTCAATGATATCCATTAAAAAAATAAAGAAATGTAACATATTCTCTCTTTCGCTGTTTTTTTTAATTTCTCAGAGAATAAAAGTTTATAAAAGTTTAGTATAGGTGGTTAATTGTCACTAAATGCTATACTGTATATATATATATATATATATATATATATATATATATATATATTTATCTACTGTATACATACTGTATATTATATACAGTAGATAATTATACATATATATATATATATATATATATATATATATATAATTTTTACTTTATTATTTGCAAAATAACGATTTTGGTGTGAAATTTGACATGGATATTTCAAATGTATGTAACATTATTCATTTTCATTCATATATTAACAGATGCTTTTCAATATGATCACAAGCAAAACTGAACAGGTACATTTAAAAATAATACTATAAATCACAAATGACATGTAAAGACTTTTTTGAAAGAAAGTGCATTCTTTTCTGAGGTCCAGACCCACACATGAATTTTACGAGTGATTTTTCACATGTTTGCACTGATTTCAGTTTTGGTTATCAGCCTGTGTCTGTAGTATTTGTACAGATCCGTGCAGCTGTTCAGCGAGTGGTGTTGATAGTGCTCGCTATCTGCCCGTCCACGAGAGGGAGCTGTTCTCTCCAGAAGGTGAACTGGCTGAAAGTGTCACTGCAGGGGAAGTCACACGAACTACTGCGCTTCAGGAGCGGGAAAACGTGATCCACCACCTCGCCCAGACGCACGTACCTGCACAGGTAAACCACAGCTGACACACTTATTCATTTAATAACACAGACACACAGTGCTAACTGAGGGAGTAACGAATGAAAGCAGCAACACATCTGGCTTTCTCAGTAGTGTGACTACTGTAGTTCAGCTGTTTTCATAACAAAGTAGTTTTTTTTTTACAATGTTGATTTTAGTCACAGTGTATTGTGCACACAGCTTTACAAACCAGCAGACTGAGGTAATAATCAAACATCTCATCATCTTAAGCGCTCTCTCTCATATCAAGCATTGATTCTTTTTAGGGTACTTTCCTGTTATCCGGACCCCACCATATACCATTTAGGAACTATAGTCATCCCTGATTGGTCTTAACCCCAGTGACGGGTAGGTTTAGGGGCGGGGTTAGGGGTAGGCCATCGTGGGGTCTGGATAACAGGAAAGTACCCTTTTTAGTGAATTGGTTTGTTTGGATACTTTATTTACTGTAAATGAACCAATCACTTCAAACAACATTTCACTGATTTATTTTCTGGCAACGCAATGTATGCTAGGTTCTATTTATTTATATTTGTATAATTTCCAAAATTTTTGTGTGGACAGGATTTTACGCTGCGTTCGCGGCACGCCATGTCGTAATTACTGTAATTCACGATGACAACACGTGAGGTTTTATTCTGTGCTGTTATGTGTTTATATGACAACACTATCAAGGTCTGAACGAATCTGCAGAGGTCAGGTGGTACAAGTAGGAACATTTCAGAACATTTCCAGCTTAAAAGTTGTAATTACGATCTCTATGAGGATGTGAACAGTAATTACGGTAACTAGGGATGCACGATATATCGGCCACATTATCGGTATCGGACGATATATGATCATTTTTAATGTTATCGTTACCGGCCCAATAAGAACATTTAGCCGATATCTAAAAAAGCCGATAAATTATGTATTATTTCTTTCAGCTGAGGCACTTTAGATGTGCACTGTTCAGCATGATGCTTTTAAATTGCTTGAAATATGATTGAAATCACTTTAAAAAAGGAAAATCCAGTTAAAGTGCAAAATGTGCTGCGCAAGTGTGTCATATCGGCTACACAACATTAAAATAAGAACATCATAATTGTGTTTGTACCTTGGCTTTCAATGAGGAAAATCGAAAAATGTCTAAAAATTTGGATTTAGATTTATCGGCCAAAACAACGGTTATCGGCTTTCAAATATAAAGAATTATCGGTTATCGGTATCGGCCAAAATTGTCATATCGGTGCATCCCTAACGGTAACTTTACATAATTTCACCAGTATTCCGCCAAAATAAAAGCTTGAGGATTTGAAATGTTGTAAACGCAAGGGTTTAAGCATTTGAAAGTAAAGAATTAAAGGCACTCTATGCAAGATCTGTACCTTAATATAACAGCTTCAAAGTCGTTTTGGTGGTTAACAAAGTCATAGTAGGGCGAATCATCCAGGTAGGAAAGCTTGGGGGGGACGCCGCCGGAAAAACCAGCCATGCAAGTTTGAGAGTGGCGCCCCTGACACAGCGCGTGAGAATCACGAAATGGTTTACGGCAACGACGTCACACGCATCAACAACATCATACTGTATGAAGCTACTTTCGAAACAGGGAAAGAGAATTGGACCGTGCTAGAAACCGGACAAGAGTCCACTCGGTCGGGCTTTCACTCGTTGGCGCGAGCTTAAAAGCTGCACTGGATTGTAACTGCGATGCTGACCTGGCGATCTTGTTGATGGACTTGTAAGTAAATCTCTTATTTATAAACTTGTTTGTATTTGTATACTAGTTGTTTCTATATTGTATGTTGCTGCACTGGCTTGTGGTATGTAATTTTTTACGGTGTGTTCATTCATCCGTTGTTGATAATAAGACCAGTTCAATAATTCTCACATGTCTATAGCTTTCGATTACCAGAGCTTTAAGCAGACTTCCTAAAAACAGTCGTTTCTCTTAGTCTTGTTGTTTTTTCCGTTATGTTTTATTGCCGAGCTTGCCACAAGAGCTAGTTTGCCAGCTGAACTCAGGTGTTGTGATGTGTATTTATCACGTATCTTTAGTCCTGTGTCTGGTTCGGATTTCTTATGACGTGTGTAAGTTACTGTTATATCAAGTTTATCTGACTAACAGTACACTTCCCGACTGTAACTTCAAATTGTGTTGATTATGAATCAATCAAATCTTGACGCTGTTGATGTTGATTCTTGCGATTACCATGAGGACATAGTCAATATCTCACATAATTATTAGGACATATAAGCCTAGAGGTTGTAAATAATTGAACACAATTTGCTATTATGATAAATTGTAATCATGTCTAAATCATAACGTCCAATGTTATGAAATAATGCGACGTACATTTAACTTGATTGATGTCATCTGACATTTTGTAATTTTAACATTACAATCAAAAAACATGAATGAAATTATACAGTAGCCTATACACTATAGGCTATTTACTTCTGATTTTGCAGAAATCATGTAAAAACGCTATAAGCCAGCAAACGCGATAGGCAACTTTATTATTAAAAAGCAGTCTAGCACTTGACAGTATATGCAGTAACAGGGGAATAACGGTTATTTACGACAGTGCAAGTACACCACAGCGGCTCTAGAGGTCACTGTTTTACAAAAAAACCAGAGAGTGCATAGTGTGCCTTTAAAGTATTGTAACATGTAGTGTAAAATAAAGTTATTGTTATAATTATTATAAAATTTTATTCAAAAACATGCACGTTTTTATAATATACAAGTGTTTTAATTGGTTAACTAATAATAATTTAATTGAAATATTTTTAAAAATAAAACAAAAAAATTACAAAACAAGATTAAAAATCTTATATGCGTACTTCAATGTCATGTGACCATCATCAAATAACCGTGAATATCCAAACGTGTCGTTAAATTGAAACTTAACTTAAATCCCAGGGGTACTTTAAGTAAATTTTTACGTCTAAGGGGTTGAGCTGACAAATTCCTCTGGGATCCCCTGTGCTAAGGATAAAAAGCTATAACATCAGCATTCCCTCCCTACTGAGACAGTTTACTACTTTTTGTTAGTAGCTTCTAGAATAGATAACTATATAATTATTTTTACTTTGAAGGAGCTTCCCCAACACTGGTCAGTAGTGTGAACTCACGATGAGATGTTGGTCTTGGCATGTTCCTGGATCAGTTCTCCTTTAGGATTGACAGTGAAGATTCGGTTTAAGGGAACACCCACCTCCTTGTAGGAAAACACATCCTACAGACACATTACAAAACTATACATCACAGACATCACCTACAGGCATCTTTATTGGATATGCAAACCATTTTGACTGATATGTTAGCTAATAATTATGTTTATTATGGCTAATATGATGACCAATGAACCAATTATTTGCTAATTCCTTAGACACTCACGGTGTCTCTGTTCCCGAACGCTGCGTAGAAGGGCTCTGTGTTTGGGAGGAACAGATTCCTAATATCCGTCAAGCACGCCACCTTGAACTTCTCCGGCCTCTTCTCGATCACCTCCCTGAAAAGCAGAGAGAGAGTGTGTATGTGCATATGTTTTTGTTGAGAGGAACATTTCAGACACCCTGAAGTGTCACTTAAATTTGTTATGCAGAGGTCCTTTATATGGGTTTGGGTTTCAGACCACAAAGTTTAAGTTTTATAAGCTCAAATGGTCACCTTGCTCTGTACTGTGATGCACGTTCGTGACTCTCCTGTTCAAACTCATTCATCAAAATGAACAATGAGTCAATTCATTCGTTTCGTTCGTTGAATGAACCAAATGACTCGGAAAAAGATTTGTTCATGTTGCAAACTGCCCTTTTGTTTGAGTCATTCTACTGAATTGGTTCATTTCAATGAGTCAATGATTCAAATCCAAATACCTGTGCAGTGCTGAAAACAGGCTGCTGGGACTCAGTAAAACGGGTCCCTGTGGTAACATGGTTCCTCTCTCGTTGACCCAGTGCAGGTAACCCCGTGTCATGTTAGCCATACCGATCGCCCTCGCTGAGCAATACAGAAACTTATAACCATTCCTGTAAAACATGCACAAGTATTTCAACCTTCATCCTGATGATATAGCAGAGAATCAGAGAAACAGTTGTGGTCTCTTACTGGCTGACGTTATGATACAGGCGTGCGATGCCCTGATGGGTCCAGTCTTTACCCAGTGTGGGCAAAATATGCCCCAACTTATCTGACCTATGAAAGAAGAACATTAACGTAAAGCGATTCGATGTGTTATTGAGGAAGATTACGATCATGTTCACGATTATGCACCTGGTGATTGTGCCATCGATGTCTGAGATGATGATTTTATCATCCCAGTTCCACAGGTAGATGGTTCCCTCACAGCGGCATGTGCCCTGATACTGAGTCGTCACGCTGAACACCACGTCATTAAGACCGTCCTTTAGCTGCAGACTGACCTACAGCAGACAAACACACTGTCACAATCAGTGTTGGGGTGTGAGTGTGTGCAATTCACCATCTACTAAACTGCCCTTTTCTCATATGTAGTTTTGAAATGTCTGATTCATTCTACTGAATTGGTTCATTCGAATGAGTTACTGATTCAAATTCTGCATAAAATTCCAACTCTTCTGTTTTATAGCAAAATACTGCGGTTTATTATTGTTTTGGACTTAAATTTAATAGATTTTTAGTAGTATTTACAGGGCTCTCAAGTTTTAAAGGCAGGCAGCATCTCTACACTCTTAAGTTTTTACACTCTTACAGCAGTTAAGTTTTCATTGTTTGTGTCAAACAAGTTATGAATTTTTTGTAACATTAAAACAGAAGATCATAACTTATCTTGAGTCTTACCCAGATACAATAGTCCTATTTTCTGATTGGCTATTGTGTAACCCCTTTCTTTTTTTTTTTTGATTGAAAAAAAAGTAAAAGAAAATATTTGCTTGTGTACATCCGGAGAAAGAAAGTCATATAGATCGGGACGGCATGAGTTTGTACGGAAGTGTATTGCATTCACTTCAAAAAAAATTTACTCTGTTTTTCTGAATTAACGAGTTAATTATCTCAGAATTACAAGAATTTTTCATGGAAAAAAGTTTTTGCTCTGTTTTTCTGAATTAACGAGTTAATTATCTCAGAATTATGAGATGATTTCTCTTGGAAAAAAGTTTTTGCTCTGATTTTCTGAATTAACGAGTTAATTATCTCAGAATTACGAGATGATTTCTCATGGAAAAAAGGTTTTGCTCTGTTTTTCTGAATTAACAAGTTAATTATCTCAGAATTACAAGAATTTTTCATGGAAAAAAGTTTTTGTACTATTTTCCTGAGTGAATTAACGAGTTAACAGAGTGAATTAACAGAGTGAATTAACGAGTTAATTATATCAGAATTACGAGATGATTTCTCATGGAAAAAAGATTTTGCTCTGTTATTCTGAATTAACAAGTTAATTATCTCATAATTACGAGAATTTTTCATGGAAAAAAGTTTTTGTACTATTTTCCTGAATTAATGACTTGATTATCTCAAAAATTAGGAGTAACTCATTAATTCATAAAAACTTTTGAAAAAAAAAATTTTCAAGAAAAATATCTCATAATTCTGAAATAATTAACTTGTTAATTCAGAAAAACAGTCGATTTTGTTTTCTCAAGTGAATGCAATACGCTTCCGTAAGTTTGAGAGTAAATTATGAGAGATTTAAATTTTTTTGTGAACTATCCCTTTACTTAAATTCCATAATCTTACGAGTTGTTCTGAAGAAAGGCGGAGAGTTTTCTGATAGGACACGCCTCCTCCAGCAGGGACGGAGTCTGTGTGAACCGGTACAGGGGTTTGTCTGGCAGATAAGTGATCTTCATCACTGGAAGAGGACTCGTCTTTCCGTCTGTCAACAAACACTTGGTTAAACATACGAATAATTACAGACTGCAACATCATTTCAGATGAAATCGTATGATGGATCCATCAGATCCGAACCTGTTCTTGATGGTCTCGTCTCCTGCAGCACAGGCTGAACCACTTGATACTGAATCCTGCAAACACAAAGACATGAGCAAAAGTCAACATCCAGCGCATCACCTAAAACAAAGCCCATCGTGATGATTTGTGTACAAATTTGACTGAGCACCGGTTTGGCACTGTTTGTTCTTCCTCGCCACGAAAACCACCATCTTCCTCGGTTTCTGGGCATCTTCTCCTTCATAAGTCTCTCTACGGTGGCCTGTGAGGGACACGCACACAAGCGTAATGCTAAATAACCGAAAAACTCAAAATAAACACACAGAAACTGAAGACACAAAGTCTCAAACACATGCAGGGAAGATGATTGATAAAAACTAGTGCAACGAACTGAGGAACTAAAGAAATTAAGCAGGTGACAGAAAGCAAACTCCAGCAAAGAACAGACGTGACTGAGCCCTGCAAACTAAAACACACACACACACACACACACACACACACACACACACACACAGGGAGGTGATACACAGGACAAGAGAACATGGTAAAACTTGATAAGTGTCATTACGAGTCATCTCAAGTGATTGTTAAACTACTAGTGGCATTTGCAGTTGCAATATACATTCAAAAGTTTGGGGTTGGTAAGATGTTTTAATGTTTTGAAAAGTCTCTTATGTTCGCCAATGCTGCATTTATTTGATCAAAAATACAATAAAAAGTAAAAACATCATATGATCCTTCAGAAATCATTTTAATTTGCTGCTCAAGAAACTTATTATTATTATCAACGTTAAAAGTTGTGCTGCTTAATATTTTTATCTTATATTTTTTTATATGTATGTTATCGGATAATATTAGATATTTAATAATGCATGCTCATTTCCCATATTTTTAATACTTGGAACATATCAAAATAATTTTAAAAATCATGTCATGGCTTTTAAATGTTATTTTTATAGAAAAAAACTCAAAGTGAATATCCATTTTCATTTTTTTATTTTTTGCATTAAAATAATCAGTTTATCTGTATCGTCCATAATATTATATTTGATTAAATAATGTATATAAGTGATACCAGTATTAAGAAAATATTTATTTCAATACAAAAACAGTCCTAAAATGCTGCACAGGGACTTCTGGGAGAACATTTTTACATTTTATTCATTTAGCTGACGCTTTTCTCCAAAGCGACTTACAATTGCTATATATGTCAGAGGTCGCACGCCTCTGGAGCAATTAGAGGTTAAGTGTCTTGCTCAGGGACACATTGGTGTCTCACAGTGGATTCGAACCCGTGTCTCTCACACCAAAGGCATGTGTCTTATCCACTGCTACTATTGAGAACTATTGAGTGAGTTAAATGAATCACTGAATCAGTTGTTTGAACAAGTTCACTGAAATAAAACATCTGATTTAATTGATTTGCTAAAATGAATCGGACTTCCAAATGTTACTGGAGAAAGAGAGACTCTGTGTACCTTAGGCAATGGTTTCTGGAAGGCTTGCATAGCAAGCATAATAGGAGCAGCAGTGCTCCAGTTATAATACCTGCAAAAATAGCAGCTGTTATTTTCAGTCCAAGGCAAATGAGATGAGAATCGATTACAGTAATGTGAACCTCACTTAGAGCCGATCTTCACCACCAGATTAGGGTCATCAATGATGGATGGATTATCAGCAAACTGCTGAAAAGACACAGCCTTCTGCTGGAAATGCTCTGAATGAGAGAGAGAGAGGACAGTAAATCAATAGGAGTGCATACATATGTATTAGTTTGAGTGAATGTAAGATTAACGCCAGACAGATTCTCTACGCACGTACGCAAATGCAGCCCTGAATGCATTTCAAGCAAGTAGTCCTGACTCCTGATGTACATAATTAATCTGTGCACCTTTAGTGATCTCTCTGTTTTCTGTGAGGCCTCCACAGAGAGAGATGGCCATTGTGGGAAGGTCGTAACTGTCCACTCCGCTGTCTGCTCCTGAGCTGCACATAGACTGAGGAGACGCGGTCACACTGCGGACACCATTCTCACACAACCGCTCTGAACCACTGAGAAAACAAACACAAGCAATACAATGTCACATTGTTGATATAAGCAGTCAATCTAGCATACACAGATTTGATAAAGCCGACTTTATCATATTCTATCACTCTCTCAATTATCATTGTGTTGCATTGTGTTTTGCCCACCTACAATAAAAACATAACTTTGATCATAAAACTAAGCATTAATATCATCTTACTAAGACATTATTAGGTGATATAGAGTAACAGCTGATATGTACAGTATATGCAACAGTTATAAAGATCTCATTGAATTACATTACAAACTATCCAAATTTCATCTTCATTTTTGGCCATATTGGGCCTCTAAATACAGTTTTTCTTCAGTATGAGCTCCATATTTTAATTACATCATACTATGTGAGCTATAAAAGCCTGATGCATTAAATATGATACTCAAAACTTACATTATACAAAAAAATAATTTTAAAGAAATATTCAAAAGATTCCATAATGTTCCATTTAAAAAATATTTGTATTTCATATGTCAATCTTTACAGGGTTAATACAGCCTTTTAGAGAGGTAAAATTGGGATGACAAACCTTTTAGGGAAGTAAAGTGCCGCCACCTCCGGCTTCAAATCCTTTATATCATCCAAATACACGCCATCAGAACCCAGATGGCGACTTTTCTTATCTGCATGAGTACACACATAAGTTAAATAGACAAAAACAAGTCTAACTGAATTTCTAACCCCAAAATTATGCATTATAACCTTTTCTTTTAGTCTTATTTTGTGGGCGGGGTCCAGTATTTGCTCCTCCCTCCTCAACCTCAGACATCACGCAAGCTGCTGGTGTCACATCCTGCTTTTCAAACTCTTTCGCCCTGTGTGATTGGCCATCAGCATGTAATGTCCTGTTGCTGTCATGGTGATGGGCGGCAGTCTCAGGGATGACTCTGAAATGTGTGTTGTCAGAGACTGGGATTGATAGTGAGGCAGAAGCAGGCAGGACGTTTGGATTCGCTGACAGAAACGAAGGCTGTAAATAAATGTTTATTATGAGGTAAGTATGAGTTTAATAAATGAGGGGTCTTTCGAGTCGGTATAAGTTGCTGTTAGTTGGGTTAATGTGTC